AACTTGCACAGTTGGTGGCTGACTAAATACTTTTTTGCCCCACTGTAATTTAATTCCCACTGGTACCTATAAAGCACCTCTGGATCAATAAAAGGCCTGGAAGACCAGAGCTGACTTCTGAGCATTCTGCAATACATAGTGTGCCTTCCTCTATTCCTCTGAGACAAATAATTCTCATGATCATGGTCTATCACAAAATACCCATTTACCAAAAGATAAACTAGCGCTAACGATGCTATAGTCCCAATGTGACCCTTGGGGATTCCCAAAACATTCTTGCAAATAAACATAATGATACATAGAGGTACTTTCTTTTTAATCTTGCCAGGATTCTACATAATTCTTAAAATAATAATTTTAATAATTTAATAATAATAATTATTATTTAAGTGAAATGGAACTGTGATCCTAGTGAGTACCAACAGAGATGTCTGGGGAAACACTGAAGTCATGGGTGCCATGCTGCCCAACTGTGCATTAGGCCAGTCATCAGCCTCACCTAAACTACAAGGTAGTTGTAAATGCAAAATTGGTATCTATTCATAAATAAATCAATGGACAAAAACAGTACTCAACCAGCAGGCAACCTTTAGACCTTACAATGCCTGCAGCTCTTTCCTCGTTACTTTTTACATTTAGAATCCTATTTTTCTCAGGCCATACCCACTTTTCAGCCCTGGCCCCATGCATTTATTTGAGTATAGCTCTTGGCACCAAATTCAACTGTAGAGCCTGACCTATTCCATCAGAAAAAAAACAGTTGCCTACATTCTGGATATTCTCTATCCTGAGCACTTGGGGGTCAATGCACTAAATAGAAATAAAACAAACAGATTTCTTTTCAATGGATTTCAAGTAGAATTATGTGATCCATGAAAACATGCCTGAATTCTGTGCTCATACATTGTAGCTCTATACATCCATTACAAAAGGGAACTACTTAAATAGTTATTGATATAATAAATAAAAATAGATGAATGTTTCTGGAAACTCACTTAAATATACCCTTCCATATGATTCTTGTCATAATTACCAAGTTATGACAGAAGGGCAATAGTTCCATCATGAGGTTCTATTCATGCTGGCTAGCATGAACATATAATTTTTTATTCCTATTCCCAAAGGAACACATGGTTACATAAGTTCTTTTAAGGGTAGAAAAACTAAACTTTGGGGACAGCAGTTGTGAGATGAGGATTTTTTTCTTATGAATGACCTATAGAGTGATTTCAGTATCCATCCTCCAGTACTGCCTCTAAAACTACTTTTTTCTGTCTATGAAAAATAAATAGGGTTGTTTATCCTAATGGAATGGGGAGAAGCTACTGTTGCAGAGTAGGAACATTTATTGAGCATTCTCCAGTAATACCCCAAACAGCCTTCTGGCCAGCATAACAGAATCAGTTTCTTTCAGCAATAGATTAAAGATTACCTCCAACCCCCCAACTTTAGCTGTTAAAGTTGTTCTTCAAAGAGGGAGCCTTTTTTAAAGTCCTGAAGCCTGTTGCTTAGGCATTTCCAGTTCTTAAAGACTTTAGTAGACTAAAAGAATTCAGGGTACTACACATTTTCATTGTATACAATTAAGGGTTTTTGCATACTCAAAATGAAACTGAGAGTGAAAATTTATATTAGGTTTTTACAGTGGCTCATTTGTTCTTTGTCCAAAACGTTCAGCACATGAAAACTTCAGATGATATGCCTCTCCACACACATGAGCGGGAAGACATAAGCATTGAATGAAAATGTTGAAGTAGGAAAGCCATGATAGTTTCCACATGAGCTAGAGTGGTCATAATACAGGATCCTGGCTTACATGGAAGCCAACATTTGTATTGCCCAAATCCTTCACTTCTGCCTGAAATACCAAATATCATTAAAATGATGTCAGCAGAGAGTGCAGGAGTATCCAAAGCACGCAGATGGTAGGAAATTAATAACATGCAGGTTTTTGCATTGTCAGTGCTAGCAAAATTATGGTAGAGATACACCAAACTTGGAAAGGCTCCAGCTTTAAGGTTGAATCTGGTGAAACAAATCTTCCCAACCAGTCCTCAGGATTCCCAGAGAACTCTTTCAACCTTTTTAAGGCCTCGTGCCTTACAGAAACAGCCATTTCAAGGCATTTACTTTGAAGTGGCTATTCGTTCCTACACACACACACACACATTTTGCAGTGAGAAAGGAAAGGAGGAAGTGAAGCTGAATCATTATAAGCCATGATTTCCAGGTGTTCCAAGTGTTGTTTTCTTAACTGGGAGAACTGAAAGAACATGAAGCTGAGAGTCTGAAAGTCCTCAGTCAAAGCTTGCTTGCCCAGAAGTGACAATTCCCCCTGAGTCTCATGACATCCATGGTTAGGGAGGCAGTAATATTATCTGCCGCCCAAAAAACCCCTGGAGTAAAATTGAACAGCAAATTTGGGTATGCTAGACACAACTGTGGATTTACAAGTTGTGCAGGCCTATTTTAAACAAGTGATATTAAACATGTCCTTCACATTTACCTTGATTAAAGCAAACACATTTTGTTAAGAAAACTGTTCTTACCATCTGAAAACTTCTGGTAGAATGAAACTCACACTGCATCATATCAAAGAATATTGGAATTGTAGCTTTTCTAAGCTCAGTTTCAGGAATCAGTGTCATTTCTAACATGGGCCCCACCATCTCAGGAATGAACTTGATTTTGTGCTGGCCTGTCAGGAATAAAAAACTGAATTTAAGAGAAAAATAATTACTTTCTTATTTAAAGCATAGTAAATAAGAATATGTCAGCTCTAGCCTATGTAGAGACTTTATTTATTATGTATAATAACCATAACCTGTGAATGTAAGGAGCAGGACTTCCACACCAGAGGATGCATCTCAAGTAGATGTAATGACTTTAGAGCATGCTATTAGGCAATTTTTTTTATAGAGACCAAAAATTGCTAAGATTTGGAAGAGATATTCAGATGCTGTGATGTGTCATGCTACAAAGATCAGACTCATTCAGGCAATAGTTTTCACTCTGAAACTCTGTGGAAAGTTGGACTTTGAAGAAACATTATAGAATATTGACACTGGTTTTGGAGAAGACTCCTGAAAATAGCATGGATAGTCAGGAAACAAACAAATGGATTACAGAACAAATCAATCCAGAGTTCTCACTTAGGGCACAAATGATCACACTCAAATTATCATATTTTGGACACATTATGTGAAGACCTAGCTCTCTGAAGAATTCTATAATGCTGGGTAAGATGGAAGGAGAAGAGGATGATTAGTAGCAAGTTGGACGGAATCAATTACAGCATCAACTGATGTATTGTTGGAAGACTTGAAAAGTCAGGCTGGAGATAGATCACCCTGGAAAAAGTCTATTTATGCGGTTACTTGACTATCCAATTGGGATATAAACATTATGTAAATATTTATACTGTACTAAATGACAATTACCAACTTCTTTAAGCTCAAGAACAGATACACCTGTTCTCTACCACATTCAGCACCTGCTGGACATCTATTCTTTTTATCACCATTCCAAAACAATTCAACTATATGCAAAGATGGCATGTGCAAAACAAAGATTTGACCATGGTCAACTATCGCATTTACTTTGGCTAGCTACATGAGCAGAAAATCAGTGGCCATGAAAGAGGACAAACAGGTATCTAGGAGGAACAAAAGCAGTAGATAGGCTGACTTTGCCTGTTTTGAGCCTGACAATGTCACAATCACTATTGTCTATACACAATCTTATCTTGGAGTGGGTCTTTGGCACTGGAATTTTCTGACTGTTTGGATTGAGCTATAGCAATGAAAATTTCTGCAACTGGAGATACAGGCAGCATCAAATCGGCATTTGGTTAGGCACAGTACATACGAGTCTCACAATGGAGAGAAGGGCTATTTCCTTCCTCCTGTCCCTCAGGGCAAAATAGTTAAAGGGGTCTAGGTAGGAGGAAAGGCAAAAACAATTCACTACCCTTCATCTGTTCTCTCACACCAATATAAAAATATATATATTCTAAATTGGCAAAGTACTTAAAAGAAATGAGAATTGATCATTCAAGAAAGAGCAGAAATTATACCACCAGTTGGGATGGCATCATTACAGTTGTCAGAAAAAGTTTCATCTACACGATTGACTAATATTTTATTTTTTAGAAAAGAAGAGGACTTTGCCCTGAGGGAAATGAACAGGGAGAAAGAGCCTTGTTCATTGTCAGTGGTATCACAAAAAATGATGGCGTAGCACCAGAAATAAGAAAATAGAAACAAAAAAGAAGGAAAAAGAAGCATGGAGCCCTAAAGATGCCAAACAGTTGAGAAAGGAATAGCAGCAACAGTCCCAGAAGGCACTGAAGAGCTCTATGGCAGCATCAGAGAGAAGACAAATGGTACTGATAGCAGGAGAAGAGAATGAAAGGAAGGAATCAGCTTGCAGACTGCAGTTAAGAGAAGGCTGAAGAAACATTAGCACTGAATAACTCCCGGACAATGGTTCCAGCAACAAGCCTGCAGCAACTGGGGAAAACCTAGAGACTCTGATAGGCAGTGTAAAAAGGTGCTGCTGCCATAACAGTGAGGGGATGTCAAAGCAGTAAGGTGCTAACAGTGAGAAGATGGGAGTAAGATTTGGTTACCAGACTGATAAAAATTCAGGAGAGGAGATAGTAATGCCCTTCTCCATTATTAGTGAAAAGACCTGCCACCTCACTGGATCACTGTTTGACTGTTACAAAGAAAATCAAAAGACTCTAACCCAATGTAAAACTGGCATATACTGATTCTGAATAGGAAATAATTCAATTGATGGATTTTTTACAACCCTATCCCTTTCTTTTCAATAAATCTTGCTAAAGAGACTTTCTGAGAATTGTTATTGAAAAAAAAATCATTTTCAACTTTTGGTAACGTTGAAAGAGCCTGACGTTGAGCCAAGAAGCATCGCTGGTGAGTATGGAAGACCTGAGCACCTACAAAACCAAAGCAGCTCAGATGCTGAAGAAAATGTTGGCTGAGTCCCTCTGACTCACCAGAACACTGCCATGTACATCAGGTGATAGTGGGGCCAGAACAAGCCAAGTGTACCAGCAGCTGGTACTGAAAGACAGCTGCTGCAAACACCAAAAGGTGGGAAGATGTGAGTCTAGGGGTCTAAGCACAGTTGGTATCCAAAAGGGGACTGCAGGGCCATAAGGTGAAGCCTTATGGGGCAGCAATGGGACTCCTCAGGAATAGGCTGACCAACTCATGAGGTGGCACAGAGGCTGGTATGGCAAGAGAACCAGGTTGGACACTGAAAATCCAGGGAAGCAATAGGGCAAATATAGCTTTGGTGGTCATAGACAGCACTAAGCAAGCTACATAAGAAGGAATGGGCTAGAAGGCTAGCACTGGGAAAGAGAATAGAAATCAAAAGATAGAACTAAATATAGAAGTATATGGGGGGGGGGAAGTAAAAATAAAGTGGTTAGGACCAGCTAGGGATATAAGGATAAAAGACAGAAATAGAATATAAGTTAAAAAAACAGGAGTCATAGCTACAAAGTAGAATTAGTTATTGAGTAAAATAAGAACAAAAGATTAAAGCAAATAAAAGAAATAATTTATTTCCTATCAATAGGAAATTGATTTCAGAGTTGTTTGAATTAAAAGGTTGAGATTCTTGCCACCATTCCGAACCTTATAAGAATAGGACAGAATAGAAACAAAAGTCAAATTAAAGAATGATACTGGTACAATAGTAGTATGGAATTAGAGAATCATATCTGGGAAAGGTGAAGATGAAATCAGAGATAGAATTTGAGGGTCAAGTACAATAATCATAAATAAGAAAAGTTAAGAGAAGTAGAATATAGAATTAAAAGACTGAAATAAGACAGTCTTTTAAATGAAGATTTAAAATCAGAAATAGGAATAAACAGTACAATATGTAATAGATAAGTTGGGATAGATAAGATAGAAATAAAGTAAAAGAGAAAGAAACAATATAATAAATTAGAAAGTACACCACTTTCAATCTGGGGAAAAAGGTTTATTCCTGTAGTGCATCTTGATAATAAAGCACCCAGTGGGTGGTTAATTTGTGACCTGCCCGAGTCTGTAACATGCCAGAACCTATGAAAATTGCCATTCACAAAATTCGTTCCCCAGGTATTTACACAATTCAAATAAATGTCTTCTAGATGATAAACATCTTGATCACAGAACAAAATGAGAGGATATATTAGAAGAATAGTTATTGTTCCTCCTTCATCCATGATTTATCATACAAATAAACAGAGAAATAAATTTATGCATTATTTCAGACCTGGTCTTTCCATTACTTATATGTAGATGCTGGGTCATAGGGAACAACAGTGTGTTGTTGTTGTTGTAGCAAAGAACTGGGTGCATTATTAAGCTCTGATACATTCCCACACCAATATGTTAATCACAGGCACAGTGCAGAATTCTGTTCCATTATCAATGTTGAAATAAGTTTCAGCTTCTTGATGGGAAACAAAGTAGCATTCCATTATGTGAAATTGGGTGGGGGGGGGAGGCACAGAAAATATCTTATCTTTCATTTCACATCAAGATAGATAATTGTTTTGGTCAGCCCTGCTCTACCATAATACATAGACTGCTTTGGTTGGTTGGTTGGTTGGTTGTTCGTTCAATGTATATGGCCGCCCATCTCAGACCAGTGACTCTGGGTGGCTAACAACAATAAAAATAGTCAACACTTAAAACAGTGCAAAAAATTAAATATAAATATATTTTAACATTGGCACACTGCTTTAATATAATAATGTAATATATAATAATAATAATATAATAATATAATAATGGCATACTTTCTACAAACATTTAGAAAAGTTCACCTTTGAATTTCTAATGGCACTTCAAAGAATTATTACTTTTATTTTACTGAATATCCCAACTAGCAATCTTAGCATATTCAGTGAGGAGCCTTCTAGTAAATTAGGAAGTGCTTTTAAAAATATGAAAGGATTATAAAGATTTATTTCTATACTTCACTGTTACAGAAAACACATTATGATGTCACAACATTATTTGTCAGGGAGACTATTCATGCCAGGAAGTTACTCTTATCTCACAAAGTTCTAAGTTTAATAAAGGAATTTCAAAGAGAACAGAAAATTGAGTAGTTTGAAGTAAATCTGCTAAAGAGGTATGTTGCTGTAATTATACATTTAAGCCTTGGATTACTCTTTTACTCTGTATGCACTTGATCTAAAATGATTTCAGAAGCTTTCTTATTCATTTCAATTAAAAGGAAAAATCCACAACTGTTTACTGAACAGACAAAGGGAGAAAAACAAGTGGACTTCTCACAATCACAAGGAATTGGTGCATCAAGGAGGGGTATATTTCCAATGAAAACACATACAGAGAATATCACAGCTTGATAGTAGACACCATGACTTTTTTAAAAAATCCAATTTCAAAAGGTGTTTAGGCCCAAGTAAACTCACTGTTCTCTTTGGGCATGCTCTAATCCATTTCAAAATCAGAACCTTTCATGATTATCAGAAGTACTCAAGGAAAATGCAGCTGTAAAGTACTTCTGACCTTTTTGTAAATCATACAGTGTGCCCCATTTAATCCTTCCTTGCAGGTTTAATTGATAGAAACTGGGAATCAGTGAAGGAAGATATCTTTCTATGAATATAATGTACAGAAATGGTATACCATGAATAGA